TGTGGAAACAGCCCAAGTGCCCATCAATCCAAGAATGGATTAATAAAATATGGTATATGTATACCATGGAGTACTATTCAGCTCTAAGAAACAACGGGGATATAGCACATCTTATATTTTCCTGGTTAGAGCTGGAACCCATACTATTAAGTGGTTTCTACCCCCATAATATGCCGAAATAAAAACAAAACAAAACAAAAAAAACCCAAAATGTCTTCCCAGCCAATGGAAAACCACTCAGCAGGGAGTAAGAATGAACTTCTGAGAAGTGCAATGATGTGGATGAATCTCAAAATCATTATCCTGAGTTCCTAATACAAAAAAAAAAAAATAGCAGGGCCACAGATGACAGTCATCTTGTGCCTTTATCCTCACAGCTGACACTTACTGAGCACTCAGGGGTTTGTTTTGTTTTTTTGAGATATAATTCAGATAATGTAAAATTCACCATTCTAACTAATTTATTAATTCATTCATTCCTTTGAGACAGGGCCTCCTCTTTCACCCAGGCTGGAGTGCAGTGGCACAATCATAGCTCACTGCAGCCTTGAACGCCTGGGCTCAAGTGATCCTCTTGCCTCAGCCTCCCCAAGAGCTGAGACAACAGACACGATCCACCACGCCTGGCTAATTTTTGAAATGTTTTGTAGAGTTGGAATCTCTATTTTGCCCAGGCTGGTCTCAGACTCCTGGTCTCAAATGATTCTCCTGCCTTGGCCTCCCAAAACGCTGCGATTATAGGCATGAACCATTGCACCCAGTCTTTAAGTATTTAAAGTGTACATTTAGTGGTTTTTAGTATATTGACCATGTTCTTCCACTCTCTAATTCAGAATATTTTTATAACCCCCAAAAGAAACCACATAAACATTCAGCAGTCACTTCCTATTCCCTTCCACCAGTTGCCCTGGGCAACACTGATCTACTTTTCATCTCTATAGATTTGCCTATTCTGGACATATAAATGTATATGTGGTCTTTTGTGTCTGCCTTGTTACACTTTACATGATGGTTTCAAGGTTCATCTATGTTGTAGCATGTATTGGTACGTCATTCTTTTATATAGCTGAATAAATATTCCATTAATATATTATACAATGCTTGTCCATTCATCAAATGATAGACATTTGGGTTGCCTCCATATATAAACATTTTTATCAGAAATCTTTTTTTTTTAATTTATGAAGAATACCAGGGAGTGCATGTGTCTATTTAAAATAGAAGTAGTTTTATATGCAATATGCAAATATCTGGGGTGGGATAAAAATAAAATAAAATGCAAATATCTACGTCATACCAGATGTAAGACCTGTGCTTCCTGTGGTAGGAAAGGTGAAGGTGTTGGATTTTACCTCAGAGATTGGAGGAGAAGAGTTGAGAAGAAACGTTGGCATGAGACAGTGCTTTGCAGTCAGGCAGTTGGGTCCAAATTGCCTTGCTAGTTATTAATTCCCTTGTGTGATATGGAAGCTGTTCATTTAACCTGCCTGAGCTCAGTTTCCCTGTCTGTAAAACTGGAGTAACAGATCCTTCTGCTTAAAGTGGTTTTGAGGATTCAGTGATGCCTAGCCCAGGAAGAGCTTAACTAAGTGTGGTGGACATACAGTGGTCCCCAAAAGATGTCTACGTCCTAGTACCCAGAACCTGTGAGTATCTTACTTTAATGGCAAAAGGGACTTTGCAGGTTTGATCAAGTTAAGGATCCTGAGATGGGGAGAGAGCCCTTGATTATCTAGGGGGCCTCAGGTAATCACAAGAGTCTTGTAAGGGAAAGAGGGAGGCGAGAGGGCCAGTGGCAGAGAGAGAGTGTGAAGAGGGGAGCAGAGGTCAGAGTGATGTGGTCGCTGACTTTGAAGATGGGGAAGAGGCCACGGCCCCAGGAGATGGCAGGCAGCCTCTAGACACTGAAGTGACAAGGAAACAGATTTTCCTCTAGAGCCTCTAGGCGTATAGCCCTGCCCATACCTGGATTTTAGCTCTGTAAGACGCAATTTCAGACTTCTGACCTCCAGATCTGTAAGATAATAAATTTGTGTTGTTTTTAGCCATTAAGTTGGTGGTAATTTGTTACAACGGCAATAGGAAATGAATATAACAAGACCCTGGCACCCAGTGAGAATCCAAAAATGTCAACCTTGATGACCCCTTTGTGACTAGTGGGACACTGAGGCAGGGAACAGAGAAGTGACTCCACAGAGCCCCTTGGTGAGGGAGGACAGAGCTGGAGCTACTACTCAGGTGGTATTTATTCCTTTGGCAAATGGTTGTTGGGGTCTGCCTGTCTGTCCATCCATCCGCCTCATCGGAAGTGTATTGTAGACCCACTGTGGTAATAGAATCAGCACTGACATTTATAGAGGGTGTGCTCTGTGCCAGGCACCATTCCAGGGACTTTGCGTGCATTACTCATTTGAATCATCACAACAACTTTATGAGATTGAGGTTGTTACTGTCCCTATTTTACAGGTTAGGAAGCAGACACAGGGGTGAAGTGAAGGCATTTGTTTTAGAATCACGCAGCAGGAAATCAGCAGAACTGGGAAGGACCCGACACCGTTCTTTTTTTTTTTTTTTTTTAAGACATAGTCTCACTTTGTTGCCCAGGCTAGAGTGAGTGCTGTGGCGTCAGCCTAGCTCACAGCAACCTCAAACTCCTGGGCTCAAACAATCCTACTGCCTCAGCCTCCCAAGTAGATGGGACTACAGGCATGTACCACCATGCCTGGCTAATTTTTTGTATATATTTTTTTGGTTGGTCAATTAATTTCTTTTTATTTTTAGTAGAGACGGGGTCTTGCTCAGGCTGGTTTCAAACTCCTGACCTTGAGCAATCCTCCCGCCTCGGCCTCCCAGAGTGCTAGGATTACAGGCGTGAGCCACCATACCTGGCCCCGACACCGTTCTTGACATTGGGCACACAGCAGGCAACGACTCAGACGTGTCCCTGCCCCTGTGGAGCTTAAGTCTAGTGGGGGAGGCAGGTGCTACACAAATACAAACAAAGCTGGGCATAGTGGCTCGTACCTGTAGACCCAGCTACTGGGGAGGCTGAGGCAGGAGGATCGCTTGAGCCCAGGAGTTTCAAGGTATAGTGAGGTAGGATTGTGCCACTGCACTCCAATCTGGGTGACAGAGTAAGACCCTGTCTCTAAAGAAAAAAAAATACAAATAAAAACAAACAAACAAAAGTGTAGTGCCAGGTGGTGGTATGGCAAAAAAGAAAGCTGGCTTAGGGGATAACTGGAAAGCTGGGTTAGGGGATAGGGAGTGGCTCCTGGTAGGCGGTGAGAGAGGCTACTTTGTTGGGTGTGAAGAGATGACATCTGAACAGAGGCCCAAGTGATGGAAGGTGGCAAGTCAAGCATGGGAGGGTTTGGGGGAAGAGCAGCCAGGCAGGGGGATGACAGGTGTAAAGGCCCTGAGGTAGGAGCCAGCCTGTTGCTGGCACAGAAGGGAGGCCGATGTGGCTGGAGGAGAGTGATGGAGTGTGGCAGGAGGCGGAGCAGTGGGACGGGGCATATGCATGCCTGAGCAGCAGTGTGCCGCCCAGGGTCCAGGGCTGGGAGCGCAGTGGAGGCGGAAGTCAGCAGGAGGCCAGCTGGCTTCAGCCTTGGGAAGGCCCTGCCCTGGGCACCACCTTTCTCCAGTGGCGTGGCGGAGCAGCACACAGGCCTCTAGCCATCTGCCTGGGTTTGGCTTTGCCACCCACCAGCTGTGAAGTTACATAACCACTTCCTTCCTCCATTTGCTCATGTGTAAAATGGAGATAATTATAGCACCTGCCTGGCAGAGCTGTTGCGAGGAGAAGCGTACGAGTCTGGCACATCGTGAGCACTCAGATGTTGGCTGCAACTGTTGTAGTTATTCTGACATCTCCCTTCAGAAGCAAAATTATAACAACCCTCTTCTTTTGCATCCGAAGAAACTGCCATTCAGAGACGTTGGTTATGTCACCTTGGGTTGCACAGCTTGGAAATGTCAGGGCTGGATTTGAGCCCAGGCCTGCCCCACCCCAAGGCCAGGTGCCTGCCTCTCATGCAGCGATGCTCCTGTGTGTAGTAGTGCGCAGGCGATGTCTTGGTGACCTCCTGACTGGGCGGTGACGGAGCAGATTGGAGCATACGATTGCCCCATGGACAGGGGAGGGCAATGTAGGGTGGTAGACTAGGTACCTTTGAGGGTGGTAATAACTTGTCATTCTAGAATCGTAGTGAAAGAGCCCCAAACTGGAAAGCAGAGACTTGCCTCAACTGTTCCTAACTGCCTCCCACGCCTGCACAGCTCTCTGCGCCTTCAACTATCAGGCAGGAATGGCAGATTCTTTGAGTGAAGCCCTCCTACAGATAGCTCTTTTCTTCATTCAACAAATAATTATCGAGCATCAACTAATAATGCCTCCTGATTGACAACGGTTAAGTGCCTATTGCGTGCCATGTCCTGTGGCCATTATTTATGTGCATGATCCTGATGATCGTCCCCATTTTACAGATGAGAAAACTTAGGCTCTAAAAGGTTAGCTGGCAAGGCCATTCAGCTAGTGTGCTGCAGAGCTGGGGTTCAAACCCAAGAATGGGTGGGTGGTGAGCAAACCCAGACAAAGCCCTGCCCTCGGGGAGCTTCCACAGAGTCCTTTGCACATGTGGGTAGGAGGTGGCATGTGCTGTTAATCTGCATGGTGATTCGAATACAGTTCTAACCCTGGCAAGTGCTACCAAGGAGAGCTCCATGGCGGGCTGTGATAGGCCAGTCTGGTGGAGTGTGGAGGGTCAGGGAAATGGGGGGGGGGTGTGCATTCATTCAGTGAATCTTTTCAAGCTCCTGCCTGTGCCATGCCCTCTACTGCATGCAGAGGACACGGTGGCACCTCTCAGCTCTGGCCCCCACTGTCATAGAGTTGACATTTCAAGGGACATGGTGGCCCAGATGGGGATTATCGTCAGGTCCCACAGTGAGCCCGAGGCCGAGCAGGCACTGACAGTGGCCTTTCTCTCTGCCGGCAGCTGGAGAAGGAAGAGCAGATACACAGCGTGGATATTGGGAACGACGGCTCGGCCTTCGTGGAGGTGCTGGTGGGCAGCTCGGCTGGGGGCGCCGGGGAGCAAGACTATGAGGTAAGCAGGGCGGTGACACAGACCCTGTGCTGCCCTCTGGCCCACACGCCCCCATCACAGTTCCCTCAGGGCCTCTGGTGGGGCCAGGAGGTGGCGGGAAGTCACACTTGACTGATCTGCTGCCCTCTGGAGGGTTGCCCAGCGTACAGAGGGTGCAAAGAACAGACGCAGAGTAGTAAACTTCTCACACCAGGGAAGAGACTGAGTTTGTATCTCAACTTGTCACACAAATTTATAATATGACAGTTCTGGAGGTCAGTGGTCTAAAATCACGCTCACTGTGCTAATACCCAGGTGTGGGCGGAGCTGGGCATTCCTCCAGGAGACTCCAGGGAGAACTGGTTTCCTTGTGTATTGCAGCCGCTAGAGGACACCTGCCCCCTGGGCTCAGGCCCCTTCCTTCATCAAAGCCAGCTCTGCTGCTCCTCTAGCATCTGCTTCCAGCGTCACTTCTCCAACTCCCACTCCCGTGCTGCCTTCTTTCTCATAAAAACCCTTTAATGACACTGGACCCACCTGGATAATCCTGGGTAGTCTCCCCATCTCAACATCTTCAATATCGTCACACCTGCAAAAAAGCCTTTTGCCACATTGTAGGTCCACGGATTAGGATGGGGTCATCTTTGAGAGGCCATTAGTCTGCCTATCACTGTCTCTTATGTTATCTTCTAGAAGCCTTATATTTTTAGCTTTTACATTTAGATCTTGGTTCCATCTCAAATGAATTTTGTATATTGTGTGAGGCAAAGGACAAGGTTCATTTCTTTTTTTTTTTTTGAGACAAAATCCCACTTTGTTGCCCAGGCTAGAGTACGTGCCGTGGCATCAGCCTAGCTCACAGCAACCTCAAACTCCTGGGCTCAAGCGATCCTCCTGCCTCAGCCTCCCAAGTAGCTGGGACTACAGGCGTGTGCCACCATGCCCAGCTAATATTTTCTATATATTTTTATTTATTTATTTTCTATATATTTTTAGTTTGCCAATTAATATCTTTCCATTTGTAGTAGATACAGGGTCTCACTCTTGCTCAGGCTGGTTTCGAACTCCTGACCTCGAGCAATCCTCCTGCCTCGGCTTCCCAGAGTGCTAGGATTACAGGCATGAGCCACCGCGCCTGGCCCGGCCTCATTTCTTTATTTATCTTTTTTATATGTTTGCTGAAAATACTTTTTTAAAAAAAGACTCCCTTTTTTCAGTTGAATTATTTTGGCTCTTTTTTGACCACTTGTATGGGTTTATTTCTGTACTTTATTTTCTGTTCCATTGATATGTGTGTTTTTATATCACCTGATCTCAGACCTCATTGTCCCAATAATGTTCTTTATAGCAAATCTTTATAGCATAACCATACATTGCATTGACTTGTCACATCTCCTTGGTTTCCTTTCATTGGCAACAGTTCCTGTGACTTTCTTTGTGTTTTGTGCCATTGACATTTTTAAAGAGCAAAGGTCAGTGATTTTTGTCAAATATCACTTATTGTACAAAATGTCTGATGTTTCCTTGTGATTAAATTTAGGTTGCACACCTTTGGCCAGAATACCACAGAAGTGACGTCGTGTTCTTTTCAGTGCAATATACAATTGATTTTTGTGTATTGACTTTGTATCTTGTGACCTTGCTAAATTCACCTATTAATCCTTATAGTTTGTGTAGATTCCTTGGGATTTTCTGCATAGACAATTCATGTCATCTGTGAAAAAAGACAGTTTTTTTTTTTCTTTTTCTCAGCTTGTCATACTGACTACCTCTAGTTCAGTGTTAAATGTTGAATGGAAGTGGTGAAAGCAGACATCCTTGCCTTGTTCCTGATCTTAGGGGGAATGTGTTGAGTCTTTCACTATTAAATATGATGTTAGCTGTAGGTTGTTTGTTTTTTATAGATATCCTTTGTCAGGTTGAGGAAATTGTTTTTCAGTTTCTTTTTTTTTTTTTTTTTTTTTTTGAGACAGAGTCTCACTTTGTTGCCCAGGCTACAGTGAGTGCCGTGGCATCATCCTAGCTCACAGCAACCTCAAATTCCTGGGCTCAAGTGATCCTACTGCCTCAGCCTCCCAAGTAGCTGGGACTACAGGCATGTGCCACCATGCCCGGCTAATTTTTTCTATATATATTAGTTGGCCAATTAATTTCTTCCTATTTTATAGTAGAGACAGGATCTCGCTCTTGCTCAGGTTAGTTTTGAACTCCTGAACTCAAACGATCCGCCCGCCTCGGCCTCCCAGAGAGCTAGGATTACAGGCGTGAGCCACTGTGCCCGGCCTGTTTTTCAGTTTCTTGAGAGCTTTTTTTCCTGAATGTGTATTGACTTTTATGAAGTGCTTTTTATGTTCTACAAGGTATACTTTAATGAGTAAGTTTCCCTATAACAAATATTTTTTTTCCCCAAAGTTAGATAAGTCAACAGTCTTTGGGACTATTATAAAAATGTTCTCTGTTCTTCTTGGTGAACGTATTTATGTCAGAATTGTACTTTGCTTATTTATCTAGCAAGATGGAATGGCTAGGTTTATCAGTCAAGGTTCTCCAGAAAGAGAGAACCAATAGGACATAGATACAAATATATAAGAGAGGATTTATTAGAGGAATTGACTCATGATTATGGAAGCTGGGAAGTCCCATGATAGGCCATCTGCAGGCTGAGAACCAGAGAAGCTGGTAGCGTGGTTCCATTCAAGTTAGAAAGCTCATAAACCAAGGAAATGGTGTAACTCTCAGTCTGAGGCTGCTGGTGCAAATCCCAGAGTCCAAAACCAAAGAACCTGGAGTTCTGATATCCAAGTTCAGGAGAATGGCATCCTGCTCTAGAAAGGAGAAAATTCACCCTTCTCTTCCCTTTTTGTTCCATCCAGGCGCCAAGCTGATTGGATGGTGCCGGCCCACATTGAGGGCAGATCTTTCCTACTTAGTCCACTGACTCTCACACATCAGTCTCCTCTGGAAACACTCTCACAGACACACCCAGGAACAATGCTTCACCCGCTGTCCAGACATCCCCTAATCAAGTCAACGCCTAAAATTAACCTATACTAGGTGAGGGTTTTATCTTTTTAAGGTCTGAGGACACCTATGCCAACAGTCTCCCATTCTTTCAAGGTTTTAAATTAAACTTCTGCTGGAGTCTCAGGTTTCTGTTACAACATGTAGTTAAGACCGAATTAAAGACTCGGGGCTTATAATGTTTGGTTTCCAGCCAGAGACTAGATATAACTGGAAGAAACAAGAAAGAAAAGGAAAAAGGGCAGAGTGGGGATAGTCAATGTTGATGTCAACTACAAATCATTCTTTGAATTCTACAAAGAAGATTTATAAGCTTTTGAAGTTAACGCAGACTAGAGATTAAAGGTTTAATTCCAGAAGCTTAGACAGTGTTGGATAATATAAGTCTGATGATCAGAGTCATTCTCTCTCTCTCTCTCTTTCTCTCCATTCATTCATTCATTCATAGATGAGGTCTTGCTTTGTTGTTCATAAAGAGACATATAGTTAATTATATTCTGCATTCTTCTCAGCAAAAGGCTTTATTTTTTAATTTTACAAATTTCACAACATGAGCCGGGTGTTGTGGCGCATGCCTGTAGTCCTAGCTATGCAGGAGGCTGATGCGGAAGGATTGCTTGAGGTCAGGAGTTTGAGGTTGCTGTGAGCTAGGCTGATGCCTCAGCACTCTAGCCTGGGTGACAGAGTAAGACTCTGTCTGAATAAAAACAAAAAACAAAACAAATTTCACAATATGTTAGTTAGAAAAGAGACCAAGCTGAAAATATTAAGGGGTCCTATGTCTACAGTACTGCCTGTTGGCAGGGCAAATCCTCTTTGGAGGAAGGTACTTCACAGCAGGTTCTCAAAGAATTCCCATAGACACATTCCCAAACAACAGAAGTTAATGAGTAAAAATACACATGTACACCGCCCATGAGAACACAAGCTGTTCTGACTTCGGTCAGCAGGCACTGTAAACTGTAAACTTGTATGCACAAAGGCTACATATATTGAAATGAAAAGACACAATATAATATTTAGGCCAGGCGAGGTAGCTCACGCCTGTAATCCTAGCACTCTGGGAAGCTGAGGAGGGCGGATTGCTCGAGGTCAGGAGTTCGAAACCAGCCTGAGCAAGAGCAAGACCCCGTCTCTACTAAAAATAGAAAGAAATTAATTAGCCAACTAATATATATAGAAAAAATTAGCCGGGCATGGTGGCGCATGCCTGTAGTCCCAGTTACTCGGGAGGCTGAGGCAGCAGGATTGCTTGAGCCCAGGAGTTTGAGGTTGCTGTGAGCTAGGCTGACGCCATGGCACTCACTGTAGCCTCGGCAACAAAGTGAGACTTTGTCTCAAAAAAAAAAAAAAAAAAGACATAATTTAGTATTTTAAAAGTACATTTAATAGTTCAAAGAAATAAATGAAGATATTGATGATATGATGAAGGAACAAATAATAGTCAAAATTGACCAGGCAGTTTTGAAAAAGAGTGGGAGGGCTGTGTGTCCCACACCAAGGGATGAACCAGTGCAAGTTATCGTAACAGAGAGAATTTAATGTAAAGAACTAGTAAGTAGGTGTTACTAGAAGACTAAGGTATGACTAAGAAGCAACAGCAGGGAGCAGCCACCACTGGGAGAAGAGAGGAAAGAGGTTGGAGTTATTGGAAGTAGATGTTAGAAGCGCCAGGAGCTGAAACTCAAACCCTGAGGGGGTGTTGCTCTTGCACCAGGAGGAGGACTGGAGGAGCCCCGAGCTGCAGGTGTTGGGACCTGCAAACTGGATTCATCCGCTGCTGCGAGGAGGAACCACTGCACAAGCAGAAGCGTCCCTGGGGTGATGCTCATGGGATTTGCAAATGCACAAGCAGCTGCAGGTCCTTCTCCACCCAGCAGCCTTGCAGCTCTCTCTCTGGCTCCCCCTGTTGGCAGAGCCTGATAAGGAGCAACCTGCAAAGCAGAGTTGCAGGTTGCCAAGTTCTGGGATCACAGAGCTGAGTGTAAAGGGTGGGTTTGGGCTGAGAAACAATAATCAGCACAGCTCCCTGCATCTTTGGATTCTGTCCTCTCATTTCTGGCCTCCAATAATTCCTTTTACCTTTCTGCTGACTCACCCATGCATTTCCAAAAGGTGCCGGAATATTGTGCCAGTCACTGTGAATATTCTCTGCTGCAAAAGTTCCTTAGGACACGTAGCCCCTCCCCCCACCATATTGCCAAATATGGAAGATGTGTGGAAGAATTTGAGAAGGATTGTTCAGATCTGGAGGTTAGAAAGATGCTTCTGGGGCCTATGTCGGCAGGCCTGACTGGAGGCCCAAAACAGAGGAAGGGTCTAAAGATGTCCAGCCTGAGCTGGATTCTGATGACTCCCTGTCCCTGCTTGGGCCCTCTGCACTCTGCCCCAGCCCCTAGAAGGTGACATCTAAAGCCTGCCCTGGTCCTCATTCGCTGTGCCTTCTCCCACCCAGGTCCTTCTGGTCACCTCATCTTTCATGTCGCCTTCTGAGAGCCGCAGTGGCTCAAACCCCAGCCGAGTTCGCATGTTTGGGCCTGACAAGTTGGTCCGGGCAGCAGCTGAGAAGCGCTGGGACCGTGTCAAAATTGTATGCAGCCAGCCCTACAGCAAGGTACCTGGGGTGTAGAGTCCTTCGTCCTGGACAAGGAGGGAACTGAGGGGCCAATCCTGAGTCCCAGAGGGCTGGAAGGAGTAGACAGCTGGTGTCCCCATGGGATTATGTGGAGGCTGGGTCCCTGTGTTCCCTGAAATGGGTTTGGGATCCTCCCCATAATGAGAAGCTTCATGTCCTGGAGGGGACCTAGGAAGGGTGAACTGTCGCATGTTAGAGGGAATTGGAGGAGGGGGCAGCTGACTTGTTAGAGAAGTGGTCTAGTAGGGTGGGCCTAGTGGTTAAAGTCATGAGATCTGGGGTCTGATCACCAGGTTGAAATCCTGGCTATACCACTCTTCAGCTGTGTGACCTTAGTTAAGTGACTTACCCTCTCTGGGCCTCTGTTTCCTGATCATTATTGGGTTGCTGTAGGTGAAGGGTTGCAATGCTGTGGTAACAGTGAGACATGAGTATCTATTGGTGCCACACAATAGAGGTACACTTCCTGCCCATGTAACTGTCCTGGGGGGTATTTAACCTGTCATCTTGCTTCTCTTCATGAGGTCATCCAGGGACCTAGGCTTCTCCCATTTTCTGGGTCTGTCCAGCCAGCAATGGGGGGAAGAGCCTGGAGCATTTCTGTGTCCTGGAAGAGGCACCCAGCACTCCCCACAGGCAGGAGTTTGGACACGGGGGCAGTAGGATTGCGTGGGCACCCAGCAGACTTCGCCAGTTGCAATGAGGCTAACGGAGCTAATGTGTGTAAAGAGCTTACAGTCAAGCCTGACTCAGAGTTAGGGCTCAGTAACGACAGCTGGATATTATAGTCATCATCATCAGGGCACCTCCTGAGATGTGGGTGTCCATAAGAGGGAAAGCAGTTTCCCTAAGTGAAAGGGTCTTGGGGCCCTAACTCCCATCCCTCCTTTTCCAGGACTCCCCCTATGGCCTGAGTTTTGTACGGTTCCACAGCCCCCCAGACAAAGATGAGGCAGAGGCTGCAGCCCAGGTAAGATCTACCCGCCACCCCCCAGAACCTTCTCCTTGCCTGTTCACCCCCACCCGCCAGCAGCCCACCCATCGCACTGACCTTGCGGGACCTTAGAAGGTGACGGTGACCAAGCTCGGCCAGTTCCGTGTGAAGGAGGAGGATGAGAGTGCCAGCTCCCTGAGGCCAGGGGCTCTCTTCTTCAGCCGGATCAACAAGACGTCACCAAGTGAGTGTGGAAAACCTGAGTCCTGAGTGAGTAGAGGGTTGAGACCCCAAGTTCTGGGTCTGAAGGAAGAGGGGCTGGAGGCCTAAGTGAGTGTGGAAAACCTGAGTCCTGAGTGAGTAGAGGGTTGAGACCCCAAGTTCTGGGTCTGAAGGAAGAGGGGCTGGAGGCCTGGACTCCTGGGTTTGGGAAATAACAGTCTCATAGATAGGAGTGGAAGGGACTTGGGGCCCAACCATCTCCTCCTGAACATACGTTCTCCCTTTGTAGCCACAGCCAGTGACCCAGCAGGGCCCAGCTATGCAGCGGCTACACTCCAGGCCTCTAGCGCCGCCTGCTCAACCTCTCCAGTGTCCAGGGCAGTAGGCGGCACCTCCAAGGTGAGATCATCACACTCTCCTCCAGGTGGGTGGAGGAGGAGAGAAGCTGGAGGCCTTAACCCATCCCTACCCTCCCAGCCTCAGGAGTCTCCCAAAGGGAAGAGGAAGTTGGATTTGAACCAAGAAGAAAGGAAGACCCCCAGCAAACAGTCAGCCCAGCTCTTACCGCCTGCCGTCAAGAGACCCAAATGTGAGCAACCTAGATCCCTTGTTTCCTGTGTTCTTGTGTCTTAGGGGACGAGGGGCTGGGGGCCTAGACCCCCAGGTCTGAGGGAGGAGGGGCTGGAGGGCCCAGACCCCTGGGTCTGAAGGAGGAGGGGCTGGACGTTTAGCCCCAGTGGCACTAAGTGAGTGTCTATTCTTTGGCTCCTCCAGTGCCACTTCCCACCCATACCACAGCTGCAGCCCCAGTGCCTGCCCCAGCACAGGGGCCAATGCCAGGGAAACCTCGGGGAGAAGGCACTGAGCCCAGAGGACACCGAGCTGGTCCGCAGGAGCTGGGGAAGATCCTTCAGGGTGTGGTGGTGGTGCTGAGTGGCTTTCAGAACCCCTTTCGCTCAGAGCTCCGGGACAAGGCCCTAGAGCTGGGGGCCAAGTATCGGCCAGACTGGACCCCGGACAGCACGCACCTCATGTAGGCCTGTGCCCTGCTCCTCTCCACGCCTCCTGCCGTTTCTGCCCTATCTCCCTCTGTCTCCTCCGCCGTGCTTTCTGTCTGCATCCGTTTTTTTATGTACAAAAAAATGTTTATTTGCTAGCTCCATTCACTGAAAAGGCATAGAAACAATAACCAACATAGCAGCAGTGAGCATCCTTAGTACCCTCTGTCTGCATCCTTTACGTTGTACACGCTCACACTCTCTCTCTCTGTGTCTCCCTGTCTTCCCCTGTCTCCTCCCCTCTCTTAGACTCTAGCCTCTACCTCTTTTCCTCTCTAATTTCTGCATTTCTCCCTCAGTCTTCTTTTTCTGTTTCTCCCATAATGATCTCACTGTCTCTTCCTCATCTTTCTCCCTTTCTCTCTGTCTCCCCTGTCTCTCTCTTTCCCCTTTGCCCCTCAGATCACATCTAACTGACACCCCTCAATTCTGCCTCCCACCAGCTGTGCCTTTGCCAACACCCCCAAGTACAGCCAGGTCCTAGGCCTTGGAGGCCGCATTGTGCGTAAGGAATGGGTGCTGGACTGTCACCGGATGCGGCGGCGGCTGCCCTCCCGGAGGTGAGACCTCCCTGCACGCACATGTGCGACACACACTCGTGCTCACACACACCCCAGCCCTTCCACTTATCCTGTGCTGGGCAATGCCAGGGATCTGGGGAGAAAGCAGACTGGAGCCTGCTGGCGGAGAGCACAGGTGGTCCCAGCCCAGAGTCAGCGGGCTCCTGAGAGGAGGCCAGAGGCTGGGGGACTCCAGATGAGGAAGGAGGGCTTGCCTGGGAGGGTGTAAGTCTGCTTATTGGAGAAGGAAAAGGACGCTGCTGGCTGGAGGAACAGCAGGTAGGAAGGTCCAGGGGTGGAGAATGAGCATTGGGGCCCGTTCACAGTCATTCAGAGCAAGTCCTGGAAACCTCTGCTTGGTGCCAGGCTGGGCTACGCAGTGCTCAGGATCCAGACATTAATCCCTGCCCTCGAACGCCCTTCACTTTGCTGAGGGGGTTGGACTCCTAATAACAGTGGTAGAAGGTCCACGGGGAGTCCCACAGGGAGCAAGGGCTCTTCGAGGATGAGAAGAGGTTTACCAGGCTGAACAGCCAGAGAGCATGCTGGGTGGAGGACACAGGCCAGGGCAGCCTGCTCTCTGCCCCAAGGAGTTGCAGGTGGGGCTGAGCTTACGGGTGGGAAGCAGGAAGTGGCAGGAAAATGAGGCTGGAGCTGTAAGAGCCGTGGAAGGCTTTTGAGCGAGGGCAGGGCGGGATCAGATCTGAGGCCTGTGGACGGGAGGAGAGATCTGAGTCGGCCTCCATGGCCTGAGTGTGCTCAGAAGTCACACTCAGCTGCACCTGGGGTGTTTGAGAGGCGATCTGCATTGGGCAAAAGTGAGTCTGCAAGGCGTGTGGGGCAGCTCAGTAAGGGCTTCTAGTGCCTGGCCGACGCGCTGGGCTCTGTCCAGCTCCACAGACCTTCATCTGTTGTTCGGGAATCCAGACACCTCTGGAAGCTGGAAATTCTTTTCTAGATTTAGCACAAACATTTGGCTGCACGATCATCCTGAACTGATGTGTGGCTATTTATGGACTTTGTTTATCTCCTTAAGTGTGTCATGCTATTTACCACTGAAATACTAATGGGTGTGATTATGGGAACTCCCCAGACTGTACTGGAGGTATCATATAATTCCCTATATGCCTGCCATTTACCTCTCTAAAATCTGATAAATTCAAAATTCTGAAATCCATCTGGCTCCAAGGGTCTCCTGAGCCGTGGAAGGTTGAGGGGCAGGGACAGGCTCTGTGGGAGAGATGGAGTGTCAAGGGGAGTCTGCAGGTGGGACCCCAGAGCAGTCTGGGGTCTTGGGGTGGCAAGTGCATGTAATAGTGTCTGGCTCATAGAAAGTCCCATGTAAGTGTTAGCTGCTGCTGATGTGAATAGAACTAGGAAAGTTCTTCTCCTGGACTGTCAGTGGCTTAAAGAAACATGAATACAGTGTGGGAGTCTGTAAAATGTATTTGCTTTTGAGAATATTCTCTTAATTGGTAGGCATTCTCCTAATGAGAAACTGCCTTTGATTCTCAAAGGGGAAAATTATTTCTGATTTTTCTTTCCTTTCTGAAATGGGACATTTCTTTCCCAAGAAGGAAGGAAGGGAGGGTGTGCTCAGGTCTCCAGTGTGGGGGGCTGCACTGGCTGGGGTTCAGCAGGGGCCTTCCTGAGCTGGGAGGGGGGCAGGCTGGGGGAGAGACCATGATTCCCACCCTGAGTGAGTATTTAGCGAATGCCAGTGGCTCTTGCTTCCTGAACATCCTCCCCAGCTCCTCGGAGGACTCGGTACCCTGTTTATCTGAGGCCTGATTCCTCCCCTAGGTACCTCATGGCGGGGCCGGGCTCGAGCAGCGAGGATGAGGAAGGCTCTCCCAGCAGCAGCAGCGCGGATGAAGCCCCCAAGCTTCCTCGAAAGGTCTGATGTCCCTGCCTGGGTCGGGGAGGGAGGGTACAGTGAGGGGATGGCCTGGATCTGCTGTGTTACCCCAAACTCTTCACTTCTGCCTCCTGCAGCCACCCCCCCAGTCACCCCTACCCCTTGTTCTCCTCACTGACTGACCCTCCCTCCTCAGCGCCCCAAGGCCAAAACCAAGCCCCCTCAGACAGCTGGACCCACCTCACCCCAGAAGCCCCCAACCCCTGAAGTGACCAAAGCAGCCTCGCCCAGGCCCCAGGAAGATACTGACACTGAGGGGGAGCAGACAGGTCAGAGTCTGAGGGGGGAGGGGCTGGGGCTGCACCCCTGGGTCTGAGGGAGGAGGGGCTGGGGCTGGAACCTCTGGCCTCAGGGAGGAGAGGGTGGGGCCTGGACTCCCATGGCTAGAGGGGGAAGGGGCTCAAAGCCTGGACTGTGGGTCTCATCAAGGTAGAGACGATCTCGGAGAGATGGAGCAGAAGGAACTGGTGGTTGGGGTCGGGGTAACTGGATCTTGGGGGCAGCTGAGGCGGAGGTTGGGATGCTGGGTTTGTCCCCAGGTGCCATACTGGAAGGGAGGGTTACTGGTCTTCCAGAAGACAAGGCAGTGCCTTGCATTGACTGGGCCTCTACTTGCAGAAGGACAGGACAATGGAGCAGAAGATTCTGGGGACACTGAGGATGAGCTGAGGAGGTAGGGTTGGGGCTGGGGTTGGGGCGGCCCAGCCTTGAGTGCCGGGGGAGCTGCTCTGCATGCTCGCCCCTTACCCCTCTCGGCTCCCCCAGAGTGGCCGAGCAGAGGGAGCAAAGGCAGCCCCCTGGCCAGGGGGAGAATGGTGAGGACCCGTACGCAGGCTCCACGGATGAGAACACAGACAATGAGGATCACCCAGCATCTCCCGACCTGCCAGTTCCTGAGCTCCCAGGTCGGAAATCCCTCCGTTCTGCTGAAGTGGGAATTTGCCCTCAGTTGTGACTTGCCCCGTGGGTCCTTACTGTCCCCATGACTTGTCTCCCTTCTTTACCCACCAGCTCCCTGCCTTGGCCACTCCCACGTTCCAGGCTTGTTCCTCTTCCCTTTCGTATCTTCTCTGTTCTTTCCTTTTTGTCCCTTCCTAATTTCTTGCTCTGACCAAGCCCGCGCAGCCCAGTGCCAGGTGTGACCCCTTTGGTGTTCCATACAGCTGTGAGTGGCCCTGCCTCATGCCAGTGCTTCGCCCCCAGGGTCAGGTCTGCTGGTCCAGGGGGAGGCGGGCACTCCAGATGCACGGGCACTGCTCTGCGTGGGGACCTCGGTGGGGGGCTCACCAGTGTTCACTTTAACATTAGTCATCAGCCCGGACACAGATGCTGTCTACACATGTGTGGCGAGTGCATTTCCAGCATAAAAGAATAAGAAAGAAAGGAAATGGGAAACCACTGCAGGGGGTTGTGGCAGGGCGTGGGAGTGAGTCTTTGAGAGTGGAGGGAGCAGAGGAAAGGCAGGAGGTTCTGCTCTGAGGTGAGGTTCAGGGCCACTGGAAGAGCTGTTTCCACCGTGTTCCTCGTGGGTGATGGGAAGGAAAGTGATTTGATCCTCCAAAGCCAGAAATGGCATCAGATTGAGGGTCTGGAAAGTCACGTTACAATGGAAAGACAAGGCCCCCGGTGAATGGGAGTCAGAGCAAAGGTGAAGAGGTGGCAGATGCTGGAGTCTCCAGCCCTGGCCAGGCTTATCAAGTGGCTCCAGCCCTTCTGTCAGAAGCACGTCACAATAATAATAATACTAATTGTGTCCTCTACAGTTAATGCAGACAGACAAACAGACCTCCCTGGAAGGCTCTGATGGGCCCCTGGTCTGGGAACTACTCACCGTCAACTCCCACCCGTGTGTGGCTGGTGCCTTGGAACTCCAGGGGCCTCACACTGGCCCCTTGCACTTTCTGTCCCGCAGACTTCTTCCAGGGCAAGCACTTCTTCCTGTACGGGGAGTTCCCTGGGGACGAGCGGCGGAAGCTCATCCGATATGTCACAGCCTTCAATGGGTCAGTCTTCAGGGGGTGGCGGTGGGGAATGGGTGATGGGCCCAGGGGAGGGCTCAGGGACCTGGTGGGAGGGGTGGGGGTTGTGGGAAAGGAGGCCATCGGGAGGGTGGGGAAGGGGCATACCCAGCAAGTGGGCACAGGTTGTCAAGTCCAAATGCCAGCCCTGCTTGTTGTGCTGGGCAGCCCTGGGTACATTGCTTCCCCTTGGTTTCCTCCTCTCTAAAGTGAGGATCCCCACCCCACTTCTGAAAGGGCCCTCATGAGGATTAGCTGCTGTGGGGGCCGTTGTCGTTATGGCAAGAGTCACATGGGAGAACGGAGGCTCACAGGCAGCCTAGAGGGGACGTAGCTGGGGGTAGTGAGAGGACGGCCACTGAGAACGGTTGGGGAGTAAGATGTCAAGACAGGGGACACCAATTCCTCTGCCTCTTCCCTCCCACCAGGGAGCTCGAGGACTATATGAGTGACCGGGTCCAGTTTGTGATCACAGCACAGGAGTGGGATCCCAGCTTTGAGGAGGTGAGTCCCAGAGGGGCAGGGAAAGGGAGACCCCAACCCAGTTTTGCATCCCCTCCGTCCCCTCCTCTCACACATTCCCACTCGGACCCCCCCCACCCCACCCTGCAGGCCCTGATGGACAACCCCTCCCTGGCGTTCGTCCGTCCCCGATGGATCTACAGTTGCAATGAGAAGCAGAAGTTACTTCCCCACCAGCTCTACGGAGTGGTGCCCCAGGCTTGAAGTATGTGCTTGTGTGCATGTACTCGAGTGCACACACACACACACACACACACACACGCAGAGATGAGTTTAATAAAGATGGCATAGTTTGGAGCAGCTGCCTCTTCTACTCAGGAATGTTCTAAAACTCCAAGAGGCTTCCAGCTTTCTGTCTTACGCTTGGTTTTTGCTTCCTCTCTGTGAGGGCCATGTCTTTGGCCTCCCTTCAGGCTCCTGTCTGGGGTCTGGGGAAGAACAACGGGCAATCTGTCAGAGATCTGGTAGGGAAGGAACTCTTTGTCTTTTCTCTCTGACCCCTCATCCCTGGCAAAAATGGGAGTTTGCAGGGAATTGGGAATTTGACCCACAGTGCTGCCCCTCAACTCGTTCTGACCCTCTCAGCTGTTCCTATGTCTTGGTTGTCTCTCTGTGGGTCATAGGCTGGAGGCCTGGTTGCTCACGAGGAAAGCCACTCTCTTGAAATCTCAGCACCCGCAGTCCAGGGGTATCAGCTCTTCTCCAGGGTCTTCAGAAGTAGCTGAATAACATCACCAGCATGGTTTTATGTCACCCAATTTAGGAAAATGGGATGAAGGGGTGTTTTAATTATGCTACCCAATCCTGGACCCCCTCCAAGGCTCCACCACATTTAAGAAGGGAACTGAGCAAGTGTTAAGGAATCAGGGCAGAGAATGGGACAGTGCCCTAGGCAAGGGCCACGGCATGGCAAAGGCCGGGAAGTGGGAACTAGGCCTAGGCAGTCGGAACAGCATCCGCTGTCTTTGGTGAAGCAGCTTTGGGGGCAGATTGAGCTGGAAAGATGGGCACAGTCCTTGCAGCTTTGCTGTGCAGTGTGGTAGCCACTAGATATACGCAGTTATTTCAATTTAAATGAATTAACATGAAATGAAAAACTTCACTTCCTCAGTCACACTGGCCACATGTTTCAAGTGCTCATTGACTGCTGTATTGGACAGCACAGATGGAGAATGTTTCCATCACTGTAGAAAGTTCTTTAGGACAGGGCTGGCCTGAAGGGCTGTGGACGCCAAGCCAAGGAGCTTGGACTTTATCCTGGGGTTGGGCAGGTAAGGGAGGGCTTTGAATAGGGCAAAGGCCAGAGTCAGAGGTAGGTTTGAGATCTGACCTTTGGGTAACCTCTTGGACGTTTCAGGCACTTTCCCAACTTTTGTCTCATCAACCGAGGGCTATCAGTCTCACCCCTGTCCTTTCTGGACCTTTGCTTTCTCATCTTTTAAGATGAGGGTGGCGTTAGACTTTGCATTCACTCGTTCCTTTGTTTATTCACACTCGTGCTGATACGCTGATAACTCACCGTATGAGTTTCCTGTTACTGCTGCAACAAATCACCACAAAGTCAGTGGCTTAAAACAACAGGCATTTATTATCCTACAGGTCTGGCTGGCTGAGGTCCAAAATGGGTGTCACTGGGCTAAAAATCAAGGTAGGCAAGGCTGCGTTCCTTCCGGAAGCTCTAGGGAAGAGTCTGCGTTCTTTTCTTTTTCAGCTTCTCGATGGCTGCTCGTGTTCCATTCCCCTTCCATGTTCAAAGACAGTGATGACCACTTGAGTCTCACATCACATCACTTGACACTGTGACTCTTCTGTCTCAGTCTTCCACATTTAAAGATCCCTGTGATTACAGTGAGCCCACCTAGATCACTGGGATAATCTCCCTGTTTTGTTTTGTTTTGTTTTGTTTTTTGAGACAGAGTCTCACTCTCTAGCCCAGGCAACTTTCCGATCTCAGCTCCAACATTACCACCTTAAGAAGGCCTTTCCTGACCTCCTCTGTATAATAGGATATATTCTTACAATACTGTATCTCCTCCATCATAGTCATATTTTACATTTCTTTATGGTCACATTTGCCTGTCTTTTCATCTGTGATTTTTACTTTTTTTTGGTCTCTTAGGATACTCTTCTCTTCTGAGGTTACTAAGACCATTCTCCTTTATTTTCATCTAAATGTTTTAGGCCGGGCGTTGTGGCTCACGCCTGTAATCCTAGCACTCTGAGAGGCCTAGGCGGGAGGATCACTCAAGGTCAGGAGTTCAAGACCAACCTGAGCAAGAGTGAGACCCTGTCTCTACTAAAAATAGAAAGAAATGAATTGGCCAACTAAAAATATATAGAAAAAATTAGCCAGGCAAGGTGGCCACTTGCCTGTAGTCCCATCTACTCAGGAGGCTGAGGCAGAAGGATTGCTTGAGCCCAGGAGATTGAGGTTGCTGTGAACTAGGTTGATGCCACGGCACTCTAGCCCGGGCAACAGAGTGAGTTCTGTTTCAAATAACTAACTAACTAACTAAATAAATAAATAAATAAATGTTTTAGAGTTTTACTCTTCAAATTTATTTACTTATTTATTTACTTTTTTTTTTTAGATGGGGTCTTGCTCTGTTGCTCAGGCTGGAGTGCAGTGGTGCGATCATACATAGTTCACTGCAGTCTTCTTCTTCTTTTTTTTTTTTTTGATACAGAGTCTGGCTTTGTTGCCCAGGCTAGAGTGAGTGCCCTGGCATCAGCGTAGCTCACAGCAACCTCAAACTTCCTGGGCTCAAGTGATCCTACTGCCTCAGCCTCCCGAGTAGCTGGGACTATAGGCATGCGCCACCATGCCCGGCTAATTTTTTCTATATGTATTAGTTGGCCAATTAATTTCTTTCTATTGATAGTAGAGACAGGCTCTCACTCTTGCTCAGGCTGGTTTCAGACTCCTGAGCTTGAGCAATCCTCCCGCCTCAGCCTCCCAGAGTTTTTTTTTGTTTTTTTTTTTTTAGATAGAGTCTCACTCTGTTGCCCAGGCTAGAGTGCTGTGGCGTCAGCCTAGCTCACACCAACCTCAAATTCCTGGGTTCAAGTGCTCCTTCTGCCTCAGCCTCCCAAGTAGCTGGGACTACAGGCATGCACCTCCATGCCCAGCTAATTCTTTCTATATATTTATAGTTGGCCAATTAATTTCTTCCTATTTTTAGTAGAGATGGGGTCTTGCTCTTGCTCAGACTGATTTTGAACTCCTGACCTTGAGCAATCTGCCCACCACGGCCTCCCAAAGTGCTAGGATTACAGGTGTCAGCCACTTTACCCGGCCTACCACCTAGTTTTTGTAAATAAAGTTTTATTGGCACACTCATTTACGTATTATAATGTCTGTGGCTGCTTTTCTGCCTCAGTGGCAGAGCTGAGTAACTGCAGCAGACACTGTACACTGCAAAACCGAAAAATATATAGTCATGCCCCTTGACTTACAGTGGGGTTACATACTGATAAACCCATCATAAAGTTGAAAAATTGTAAGGCAAACCATTGTAAGTTGGGGACCGTCTCTATTATTTTGCCTTTGTTCTTGCTTTTATCACCTAGTGTGTCTTGCGAATCTTTCCACATCAGTACATACAGAGTGCTTTTTTCCTACAGCTACATATTCCATTTCATGGCTACGTTACAATTCATGAATTAGTCCCTTATTAATGGACACTTCAATTGTTTCCAATCTTTGGCTGCAACCTTTACACTGCAGTGAACATCCTTACCTTTATGCCTTTTCACATGTGAGTTTATGGAATAAATTCCTACAAGTGGAATGGTTGAAACAAGCATGTGTATATTTAAACTTTTTAGATAAAGTCATATGGCCAACATGGAGACACCAATTTAAACTTTCAACAACAATAAAGAAAGGGCCTGTTTGCCCACAATCCTCACCAACCAAGGATGGTAGCAGACCTTTGCCATATAAGTGGGTGGGGAGAACCAGAGCTAGCACTGTCAAACCGCTGCTCCGGATCTATCATTTGGGACCCAGTACTAAAACTCTGTGGTTGACACCTTCCCCTCCCTGTGGCAGGTGAGCAAAGAGTTCCTTGGTCTTCTAAATTTGAGCCCAGTATAAATGGCCAGTTTCTCCTGGCAGCTGTCTGGAACAGGCAAGCTCATGTAGCCAGGCTCAGAAATCCCACCTGTATTGACCAAGGCTGGTGACCTAAGGGGGCTAGTGAGCCAACGGGACAGCTCACCCTCTCTCCCCCTGGCCCTCCGCCTGGTGGTGGCTGCGTTGATGCAGGAGCAGGAGGCGTCTCTGGCCAAAGGCCTGGTCGCAGCTGGAGCATTGGTGCCGGGCTGTGGCCTGGCTGCCGGGAGCTGTGGGTGGGTCGTGACAGAGGCGATGGGCGGCCAGCTTGGAGGGAAATGAGAAAGCCTTGGGGCAGTGTGGGCAAGGGTAGGGGCGGGCGTCCGTGGCGTGGTGCGTGTGGCGGTGGGCCGCCAGCTTAGAAGGGTAGCAGAAGGACTTGGGGCAGTCAGGGCACGGGTAGGGACGGGTGGGCGCGTGGGTCCAGAGGTGAGCCGCCAGCTTGGAGCGGTGGCCAAAGGCCTTCGGGCAGTGTGGGCACGAGTGTGGGCGGGCACCGCTGTGCGTGAGGCGGTGGGCTGCCAGCTTGGAGGGGTAGGAGAAGGCCTTAGGGCAGTCGGGGCACGGGTGGGGTCGGGCGCCGCCGTGTGCTAGCCGATGCGTGGCCAGCTTGGACGGGTACGAGAAGGCCTTGTCACAGTCGGGGCAGCGGTGCGGGCGCTGGGGCGGGGGCCGCCGGCGGGGCCGGGAGGGCGCGCCCCCTGACGCGATGGGCCCTGGAGCCGACTGGCTGGGCTTCTGCGGTGGGCCCTGGTGGGGAACTGGGGAACAGGAGGGCTGGTGGGCTCCAGGAAGCAGCCAATGCCTGGGCCTAGGCCAGGCTCTGCCACCACCTTGATATTCAATGGGGCCCTCAAAATGTACCTGGACACCTCAAGTGTCATAACTGAGATTCCCCAAATGGCGTGTTTCTGCTCCGCCTCCCCCCATGCTTCACCCTGAGGGGCTCCTTCCTGGATCCCGAAAGCTAAGGCTTCCTCAAAGCTAAGGTATCCATTTCTAGTATATTCCCAGCAATCACCTTGAAATCCTACCTCATCCCCCTGTCTCTTCTGTAATTTCTTGAGCCCCAGCAAATGATCCCTGAGGGTCCCCCAAAACCAAATGGGAGCATTCCCCAGAACGTCGAATTTTAGGTCTCCCAAATAAATGTTTATCACGCAGGGCCCTCAAACTTTCACCCTGAGATTCCCCCAAAGTGTGATTCTCTTAGCCCCTGTTCCTGGAGAATGCTCCCTACTCGCAGGCGGGGCCCCTCTCACCTCCTCCTTTGGTCACCGGTTCCTTGCCCTTGGAACTAGGATCGGTGGTCCTGGCCGCGGGCTCCGCGCCCCTCTCCAGCATCTTGCTGGCACAGGAACCTAGGGGGAGGGAATGGGGAGGCGGATGACGCGGTTGTCACCAGGCTGGTGGGGAGAGGTATGCAGGGCCTGAAATCTGGGGTCAGTCTGTTTAGGGGCGGGATCCGCGTACGTCTGGGATCCTAAGAGAGCAGGCGGAGCCAAAGAACACGCTGCACAGAGCTAAGCGAATCTAAACCCAGGGTTGGAGTCTTTGAGCAGGGTAGGCGGGGCCGCTACCACTCAAACTGCGGCCGTCCAGAGCGCTCAGCGGGCGGGGCCTATCTCCGGAGTGGGCGTGGCCTTCCCAAGACCCTCCCGGCCGTGGTACCTAACCCAGAGTGGGTGGAGCTATGCAAATAGAACAAAAGTCGGTTGCTCCGCAACTCAGCCCCAGGGGCGGGGCCTTCACGCAGAGTGGGCGCGTTTTTGCCACTGTCCCAGGGGAGGGGCCCGTGAGCACAGTGGGCGGGATTTCACGTCGAAGAGGTACCTTTACCCGGATTTTTGGCTTGGTCTCAGTCCACTGCGTCCTTCTCGCCGCTAAATTTCATCCCAGCGTGGAGTTGGGGCTGTGGAGGACAGAGAGGAGACCTGGAGGGAGACATGCAAAGAACGTGGCGTGTGTTGTGATCTGGAGACCCCCTAATGGATTTTTCCCCAAGCGTCTTCGACTCAATGCACCCTCGGAGTCATGGCATTCGGGCACCAATGCACATTCCCTCCCCGACCTAGGCGTGCGGACCTTAAACGATCCTCCTCCAGGAGATCCTAGCATGCAGCTCCCAATCCAGTCCGCACCCGAACCCCTGCCCCTCACCTGCAGGACGGCTCCTCCCCGGGGGCGGGGCTCCGGGCCCCTCCCGCCGCGGTCGCAGCCGCGGCCACCGCTACCGCCGCCGCTGAGCTGTCCTCGGACCCGGCAGAGCTGCACCGCCCGGCGCGCGCCCGGCGGCGGAGGAGGGGAGGGCAAGGAGCGCGCGCGAGCTGCTCGGCCCAGCCTCATTTCCATCCTTTCCTCCCACGCCGGGCCGGAGGGGGCGTCAGTACGCATGCTCAGTCGCAGCGAGCCAGGGCTGCGGAAGGGGAAGATAGAAACCAAGGAGGCGCTGGGTGCTACAGGCTGGGAAGTTTTAACGAGCGAGCGCGAAGCTACCAGCCTAAGGACCGTTGCAAAGTGCACAGTCGGTTTCGGGGCCTATGGTGGCTGACTGGTGTCAAGCACGTGCAAGATTAACACGGACAAACTGCGTCCAGAGATCAGTGAGACAGTTCCCAGCATATGCACTCTTCTTTTTTTTATATCCCTCTTATTTTTGAGAATTCCCCTGGGAGTCTGAGTTCCACCTCCGGAAGCAGTTTCCAGAGCGCGCTGCCCATTCCACCCCGGGAGGCATTTGCAAAAAGTCTGGCCATTTCTTCGAGAGAGGGCGGGGGCGGAACTCTGAGCTCAGAGCGAGCTGCTGCCCAATAAAAGGCACGTTATTTGCTTAGCGCCTCGGCGAGGCATACTTCGCGGTTGAGTGATTCAAGATTCTCAGCCACCTCCCCTCTACCTCCCTCTCGGGAACCCAGGCGGTCCCGAGGTGCCTGGAGCCGTCTCCTGGTGCCAGGCCCCGGATGGCATGCAGCTTGGCATTCTTCCGGGGCAGTGACTGCACTTTCCTGCCTGGTGCCAGAATGACCGTGAAGTGCCCATAAAAGTCTGGCGATCCCTGGGTATCTGGTTTGGAATCTTGGCTCTGCCACTTTCCAGTTGTGTGACCTTGGGCAAGTCATTTCATTTTTCTGGGCTTCCGTTTCTTCATCTATAAAATGGAGTTGTTAGGATTAAATACGATAATCAATGTAAATGTGTTTGGAATAGAAAGTCCCTAGAGCGCTCAATAAATGTTATCAATATACTTTTTGTTTTTATCGTGCATTAAACTAGGCCCAATGGGGTCAAGGTTGTTCTGGGAACAAGTGCACAGACCTCAAGGTGGGCAAGGGCATGCTGTGTCCAGGGATCGCTCCAGACTCTGGCCTTCCTTACAGTTCTTTACATGCCATGGTCAGTTCTACCTCAGGACCTTTGCACTAGCTGTTCCGTTTCCCAAGGCCCTTCTTCCATTTCTTTTCTCTCCTGACTTTCCCCTCAGGTCTTAGTTCCAATGTTAGCACAGCAGACATCTCCATTCCTCTGTTGTCTCCTCCCCCTTGTATGCACTTAACACTACCTACCTGTCTTCTAGAAGGCCTGCTTTGTTAAGGTGGACACCTTATCTATCTTATTCATCTCTCTGTCCCCAGCATCCAGGACAGGGCTTAGCACATAGTAGGTGTTCAACAAATCTGTGTGGAATAAATATTTGAAAGAATGAACAGCCAGAAGCCCTGTGTAATGGGAAGATAGAACAATGGAGAGAAGAATGTACAACTAGAGGTCAAGGAACTTGGGAAGGGGCCTAAGCTGAATGAGAAAACAGGGGGAGGTTTTCAATGCAGGAAGTGGCATGAACTAGTTTAGGTTTCATATACTTTTTTTTAACCATATTTTTATTTATTATTTATTTATTTTTTGAGTCAGAGTCTCACTCTGTTGCCTGGGCTAGAGTGCTGTGGAGTCAGCCTAGCTCACAGCAACCTCAAACTCCTGGGCTCAGGCGATCCTCCTGCCTCAGCCTCCTGAGTAGCTGGGACTACAGGCATGCACCACCATGCCCAGCTAATTTTTTCTATATATTTTTAGTTGGCCAATTAATTTCTTCCTATTTTTGGTAGAGACAGGGTCTCACTCTTGCTCAGGCTGGTTTCGAACTCCTGACCTTGAGAGCAATCCTCCCGCCTCGGCCTCCCAGGGTGCTAGGATTACAGGCGTGAGCCGCCTCGGCCTCCCAGGGTGCTAGGATTACAGGCGTGAGCCACCGTGCTTGGCCAACCATATTTTTAAATTATGGAAAATTTCAAACTTCCAGACAGGAGAGGGAAGGAGGAGTATAACTAACTCCCATATACCCATCACCCAGGTTCAGCCTGGCCAGTCTTGTTTCATTATCGTCCCAGTACCCCTTTTTGAGCCCCTTGAATTATTCTGAAGCAAATCCCAGACTTCTGTCCAGAAACACTTCAGACTGTGTCTCTAAAAGATAAAGACCCTCTCTCTTTAAAACAAAAACAAAACAAAACAAAACCCATAGCCACAATACCATTTTCACACCATGAAAAATGTATAATCATTTCTTCATGTTATCACATACCCATCAGTGTTCAAATTTCCCCAATTGCCCCATTAGTATCATTTACCCCCTTTTCCAAGCACAGTGTTTTATTTTATTTCAAACATACAGAGAGGTAGAACAATAAAATTGTTCTCTGCACGGGTAATAGAATTGACAGCATCAACAATTATCCACTCATGGCTAGTGTTGTTTCATTTAGCCCTACCTACTCCTCCCAAATGATTCTGAAGTTAAATGTCAAACATCATATCCCATCAATGTCTTTTTATTGTATTTAGTTTGTTTGAATCAGGATCTAAACAAGCTCCACACATTGCATTTGTTTGCTGTGAATCCTCAGTCTCTTTTTTGTGTTTTTTTTTTTTTGAGAGTCTCTCTCTGTTGCTGGGGCTAGAGTACCGTGATGTCAGCCTAGCTCACAGCAACCTCAAACTCCTGGGCTCAGGTGATCCTCCTGCCTCAGCCTCCTGAGTAGTTGGGACTACAGGCATGCGCCACCATGCTCTGCTAATTTTTTCTATGTGTTTTTAGATGGCAAATTAATTTCTTTCTATTTTTAGTAGAGATGAGGTCTTACTTTTGCTCAGGCTGGTTTCGAACTCCTGACTTTAAGGGATCTACCAGCCTTGGCCTCCCAGAGTGCTAGGATTACAGGCGTGAGCCACCAGGCCTGGCCCTCAGTCTCTTTTTTATTGACATTTTTTTTTTTTTTTTTTAGAGTCTCACTTTGTTGCCCAGGCTAGAGGAGTGCGTGGCGTCAGCCTGCTCACCAGCAACCTCATCTCTGGGGCTCAGCGACCTACTGCCTCAGCCTCCCGAGTAGCTGGACTACAGGCATGTGCCACCATGCCCGGCTAATTTTTTTTAGTTGGTCAATTAATTTATTTCTATTTTTGGTAGAGACGGGGTCTTGCTCAGGCTGGTTTCGAACTCCTGACCTTGAGCAATCCGCCCGCTTCGGCCTCCCAAAGTGCTAGGATTACAGGCATGAGCCACCACGCCCGGCTTTTTATTGACATTTTAAAGGGCTCGCTCTGGTTGTTCCATAGAAAATGAAGACAGAGTGGAAGCAAGAAGACCAATGAGGCCACTGTTATATATTCATTCCAATATCAATTGCTAGCATTTATTGAGCATTTGCTATATACCAGAAACTGTCCTTATATGCGTTAATTTGTTTAATCCCCACAGCAACTTTTTAAGAGGAGGTGCTACTATTATCCTTGTACAGAACAGAAAAATGAGACATAAAGGGGAAGGTCACCTGCCCAATGCCACATAGCCAGGCCCCAGCCAGGAAGTAGCAGAGCTAGGAGTTGAACCCCTCAGCCTGGCCCTGGAGTCCAGACAATTTGCTTTTACTTTGCTATCTCCTGAAGGGGGCAGAGGGTGTGATGGCAGAGGTTAACTCAGCAGGGCTCAGCAATAAATTGGGTGGAGGTGGAAAGGGTGGAAAGCAAGTCAAGGATAGTGATGAAATCATCGGCTGGGCGCGGTGGCTCATGCCTGTAATCCTAGTAGTCTGGGAGGCCGAGATGGGCGGATTGTTTGAGCTCAGGAGTCCACCAGCCTGAACAAGAGCGAGATCCCGGCTCTACCAAAAATGGAAAAAATTACCCAGGCATGGTGGCGCATGCCTGTAGTCCCAGCTCCTTGGGAGGCTGAGGCAGGAGGATTGCTTGAGCCCAGGAGTTTGAGGTTGCTGTGAGCTAGGCTCGACGCCTGGCACTCCTAGCCCGGCACAGACGATGTCTGTCTCAAACAAAAAGAAAGGAAGGAAGGAGAAGGCAGAGGAGAGGAGGGAGGGAGGGAGAGGGGGAGAGGGAGGAGGGAGGGGAGGGAGGGAGGGAGCGGGCAGGCGCCAGGGCGCAGGGGCAGAGGAAGAGAAGGGGAACGGAGGGAAAAGAAAGAGGAGAAGAAAGGAAAAAAAGACAGGAGAGGAGAGGGAGGAGAGGAGAGGAAGGAGAGGACGGACCGAGCGAGAAGAAGGCAGAGGCAAGGGGGAGAGGCAGAAGCAGAAGGCCAGCCTCCCTTGATAGCCCTTGTCTCCATTGACTTTCAAAAGGAGCGGAAGAGTCATGTTCTCATCCCTCATGTTGCAGAAAACTGAAATGCAGCAGAATTTAAGTTTTCAGCGCAAGGTCATACAACTGAGAAGGGTGAAGCCAAGTTAAGTTTTAGGACATTTCACAGCTGAGCCTACAAAAACTCTGGAGGGTGCGTCTTCAAGGGACAAAGCCACAGAGTGGATGAGTCTCAGTGCTCATTCTGAGTGTAGGGTTCCAAAGAGCAACTTTCGGACAGGGTCAAGACTCGCTTATGTATGTATGCTATACCTATTGCTGCCCTACTCCCACCCCAGATTTCCAGACTTGGGCGAACTGGGAAGAAGGCACAGTCCGATTGACTTTAGAGAACACAGTCTCTTAGCTCTAGGTCCTTGGTGTAAATGAATAGTAGCTGTTTTTAGAGGTTCACAGCCCAACATAAGACAGATGATCCTCAACCTGATTTTGCAAGATACAATCGCAAATTTTTTATTTAAAAACAAACTCCTCTTCCCTGGGAAGAAAGAAATTCCTAATATAATGTAGTAATTTTGATGAACTTTACTGGGTTTGAGTGTTGTTCTGCTAACCAGGCACCTGCTCACAGGCCTTCAAGGACCCCACCGCGACGCAGAACAAAACTGTCTTTTCTTCCAAAATGACTATCCAACACCTGCAACAGCAGACTGGCCCCAGGCAATGAGTGGAACCCCGGGGTCTCGTTGGCGTTTCTATCTCTCGCCGGTCTCTGTTCTTCTTTCTTTCTTTTTGGCAGACAGATCTCACTCTGTTCCCCACGGCCTCTACAGTGAGTGCCGTGGGGTCAGCCTACTCACAGCAACCTCAATCCTGCTCAAGCGTCTCCTGCCTACTCGCCGAGTACTGGGACAACGGCTATGGCGCGCCACCATAGCAGGATAATTTTCTTCTCTTATATATCTTAGTTGGCCAATTAACTTTCTCCTCTCTATTCTATAAGTAGAGCGGGTCTCGCTCTTCGCTCAGGCTGGTTTCGAACTCCTGACCTCGAGCATCCGCCGCCTCGGCCTCCCAGATCGCCATGTCTCCCCCATCGGTTTCCATACTACAGGCCAGGCAGTATCTGTCGTTCTCTCTGAGCGCCTCCCTCGCCCCTTTCAGTGTCTCCGGGGTCACGCCGTCGCGGCGCGCGCTGGCCTCGTCTTCCGCCTCCGAGCCATCC